TTAATACCACTATAATTCCAAGTGAAACCAAGATTCCATAGATAATAAAACTTTAATCAAACAACGCGAGAGGGTAATTTAAACAATCTTAATGTTTGAAAGGATTCATGAATAATTTTAAACGCCATATCCACCGCCTTAATTGCACTTGCCGTTTAAAACGATTGAACGTGCTCTATTATATGCCTTGTATACGCAAGAGAAATACAAAACGACTGTTTCGACAGATCACTCAAAACAATCTGCTTGTGAAAGACAAGTCGAGAGTAATTAACAAGAAGCGATTGGATATCCTATTTCATTGTATTCAGACAATAATTATGAATTCTTTGCATACCACGAACATTTACTTGAAGCATTCCTTCGTATATGTCTCCACAAAAGTGCTGATGTAGCGAATTTGGAAACAGATACTGTTAGAGTATATTCGTTTATGCGCCAGTTGCCATGCTGCAACAAAGCCGATACTACATTTCTAACATTTCTGCCATCGAGTGTCAAAATGATTTTATTTAAGGCGCTATCAAGAAGGGGCTCTAATGTTTCTGATTCAATATTTATCTGGTTTTTGGAAGACAAGACGTACATTACAAATGACATACGCGTCTGTATAAATGTTTAACTAATTCTATACGAAATCCACATTCCTGAAATTGTTCCCGAATGCTGGGATGTTCTTACTTAAGTGAGGTGTACATTTACATCGTTTTATGTTGCCCAAATTATTTTTTTCCTCGATGCAACAATACCTCGAAACAATACCAGAATAACTTATAACATACCATGGAATAACTATGAACACCCAACATCTATCAGAAAAATACCTGCAGACAGTATTCAACTTCAATTACAGAAATTTCAACTTCAATTCAACTTCAATTAAAGATAAATGAACTTTGAAACTTCATAACCAAATCTGTTAAAATATTTTGTTTCATAACCCTGAGTGTTAACGATGGCCTCCAATACGACGACGTCAAAACCTTCTCTATTGTGGTGTAAATTACGGTTTTCCTTTCCTTGAGAATTATAATTTAATTAGGGTCAGTGAAACGAAAACTACAAGAATATATTTTGTCATATAAACATGTCAGCCTTTGTCATTTGAATTTTAGAGTTGTTATTTAAATTTGAAATTAAACGAAAACTAATTCAGCGTTGTTTTAAACAACTTCCAAAACTTCTCATCACAAAATGTCTTCAGCTTCGAATAAGGTGGACCCACACTGTACATCTTTTACCATGGTACATCTTGGTACCAAGTACTGTCGCTGACTATTGCGAAGCGTAGTGAAGTACGTGTCTGTTGTTGTTTACTTAATAACCAATGTTTCATGCAAAATCTAGATATACTTTTAGCACGAAATTGTTTCACCTGTAAATAGTAAAGGTAAGTTACCTGATGATCGGGGTTTTAACTTTTAACGCCGTTAGGTGAAAAAAACACACGAATATACACCCACTTATATTTTTTAATGTACTGTGCAATACATGAAAGTATATATTTCAGTATGAGGATAATTGTATTTGCATTATGGGATGCTCTTACCAAAAGGATGTCAATGGTTTGTTTTGAGATGGTGTATTCTGTTCTAATCATGTTAGAAACGTACTTGTTTAATACATATTAAGCGAAATGAAGCGGTATTCGATTATAATCATATTAATAGTGATACTTACAATGCATTTATGGTCGATCGATCAGATTACGTAATGCGAAAATATGAATTTATCAAATTTCAGTACAACTACATCGTCATACTTTGTATATGTATCACTTCTATTGATGATTATCCTAACAGATAGGATTTGGGGAACACATGCGAGCATGCTTACCATTAATTAATTGCAATGTGTTCACGACTGATGATATTATCACAATTTAGGGTCGTTAATGTGCAACACATGCCAGTCATTTACAAAATTGAAATCGACATCTGATACATAGCAGTTCACTGGCCTGTTGTGTTGGATGAGTGCATGTGGACAGATCGTTTTAATTGTTCACTAATATCACAACATATTGAGCCAGGACTTCTTCAAACATTACCCAAGTTAAATGCCGCAGTAGCAATTTCCCATGCCTATTAAATACATTGTCATCCAACCGTGGCGAAAAATACCGCCCCAATATATATATTCTCCTAAATAGGTAAATTAAAATCCTTTGTCCTTCTTTACTATTTGCCAGAATTAGTGATCTGTAAAATATCGATTTTAAATAATGGATGAAATTCGTCTGTTTGTTAGCCACACTGGACTTCGCTGTGCAGCTTAATGGAATCGGTCGTAGAGCGGAAAGTGTAGCTATTGTGCTCAGATCACTATGAATAACTGTGATATTTTTTCAAAAGTTTTCTATTGACCAACATGATTTTTCGAAAAAACTCATAGGTGTATTTTTTACGTTCTGAGTGGCTGTTCAATTAGGTAGTCTATTTTTCATTTTTTATATGTCTCCTTTTGCTATAATACTTGAATGCAGTGATGCTAGTTTCATCAACGGAAACAACAAACAGGCTTTGTTTGTCTCATAAAAGCGCCTCGTGTTTCGACCATATTTGATTTCATACCAAACGTCAACCATTCCTCGCTGAATGTGCTCCCATTGCGCACGCGCGTGAGAGAGTTCGTGTCATTTGGCACATAAACCTTCCAGAGGGTGCTCATTGGTGGATCGAACCAACACGATTAGTTCAAATTTGCATAAACTGTTTTCCTCCGGACTTGGAACATTGGTGGTGTATATTTACTTGCTTTGTTTAAATACTTCAAAGAAACAGGTCTGGTCTTGTAACAACACTTAGTGTCTGTTTCCGTGGATGTTACCATGGCGATATACATTTCAAGTGAGCCGTTCCTCTTTGCTGTGTGATCTTTACGGCGTTTGTGCCCGTTGTACAAAAGCGTATCTGGTTAATGCGCGCATATTTGTCGAAGATTCATTAAGATTTTCATATATTTCGTTGGATCCCGAAGGAAATGTCCAATGTCTTCAGGCACTGAGTTCAATCAAAGTTAGGGGTATTCAGAGACACAAAACCAGCCAATGGTGTTTGCTTCAACAGATCGTTTATAAAGCGCCGAAATGGCCATAAACATGCCGTGTTATCCAGCTCATTGCGTAAGCCTGTCTCGACAAGAAGGCTCCTTTACAGCGAAGTAAAAAAATTCAAAAGTAAAGAATTGTTTGATGTTTTTACCAAAACTTTCAAAACATGTCTCTATGGTCACATAACTGAACTTTGTAAAAAAATACTTTATTCTTTCTTAAAAGTCTAATACCCACTGGAGAGTTCATAGACAATTTCATGACTAAGAATATATTTAGAACCTTCGAACTTGCAAGAAGAGTCTCATGCAACAGAAATATGAAATGGCATATTTTTAGGTAGTGTTATTCATAATGTCATTTAGAGAGATCTTTTCATTACAGATAAATACGCTTCGTGTGTGTACATACAACAGGAAACCCTCAAAGGTGAGGGGACAAAACCATTTGCGGGTAATTAGCTAAATATTCATTTTGAGCTTGAACTGAAATAAGATGCTCACGTTATCGTGTTCAGGTCCAGGCACCAGCGCTGAGTTTCATTATTAAGTCTAACACATAGTTTACTTATTATAATAGTCAACAAAAGAAATAGATTGACAAAAGTGCAGTTTCAAGTTTTTATCCAACACATGCAACGTTCTCTCCTTGTGTGGTCTCAAACCCGGGCGGAACTAGTTTATCCTCAAATCGTATCACCATTTTCACGGTGATGAAAACATCCGCTATATTTGTAAATGAAACATCTAATATCCGACAAAATAAAGGATATATTAACAAATTTTAAAATAAACTATATTAATATTTTACTATTTTAACGCATTTGAACAATCATACAGAATGACACGCTACTCATAAACACTGTAAGATTACAACTTTTAAATAATAAAGTGTACCAACAGGACACAGAAGCCAGAAAATGTGCATCGGACTGATTTAAACTCACAACAACTTGGCATAAAATACAGGAATGTCATGCAGACCCTATTAACATGAGTAGCACGCATTTGGTTTGATGCGGTCTTGTCAAGTTTTAATAATTACGATGTTCACGAAGATTTTGTCTTGTTTGTTTGTTCAGATGGTATTTCGGTTTAGAGTAAGTTCATATTTCATTGTTGATATGATCTCTGCTTGAGTACATTGCCGACATGTTCTATCAATATATCTATAGGAAAACATTTCTCATGTTTTGTGTATTTATCCAATGTATTACATGTTTCATGCATAAAAGAAACACTGTAACAATGAAAAACATTTGCATAATGGCTTATAGTATCACCGTAAGTAATGAAATAATTCAATTACTGTGAATTGAATCACCTGCCCAATAGAAATCCAGAATAGTTACATCGATATACCATTTTGAAAACAGAAAGCAACACAACTCATTTCTGTAAAACTGTTTAACTTCAGCTGCGCGATACATGGTAACGTGATAGCTGAATATAAAATGGCCCCGAAATTTATTCTTTTGCGAACAGGCAAATGTATATTTCACTTTCTATAGTCGGTATTACAATGATGTATGGAATTGTATGTATATAACGATGTGGTTTAAATGTTCATTCTAAAAGTTTGACAAAGCACGAAGGTACAAATTAATAGCACAGAACAGGGGGACTGAAGTGCTTTTTATTGAAAGGTTTATGGAATGCTGTAGTTGTGTTTGAACCGATGTTGTAATGACAACGGCATACGTCCTTAAAAGGTTCCTATATTGTTTGAAATATTGTTGTTTTTAAAACGTATTCAAATATACAAAGGAGTGATTGTTTAAAGAACACTGATGCCTGGCAAGGTTATTGCAGTGGTATTGTGTACACATTTCAACCGAAACCGTTGCCTTCTGTGAAATATACACATGTGTATTTATGTCAAAATCCTGTATAAATCTGTGAACGTTTGACTGATTGATATAAATGATGTCCTTTTGTTACCGTTTCAGGTTCAGAGCGGACCGAAATATCCTTATTCAGGTATACAAACAAGTATAATAAACTCTTGTCTTGTATGTTTCACTACATGTCAGTCACGTCAACAGCTGATGATGTGATGAAATTGACAATCGAACCGTTGGTATGACACCTGGAATTCACATCACACATTCTTGTTGATTTCAATAAATCATACAAACGTGTTTTCGAATACAGGATTCGCTTTGGTAATCCAGGCTTCGTAAATATTCAATGTAGTATTATTTCAATCACGCAATGTAAAACACGTCCACAAATCCAGTTTTTCATATAAATATATAGATGCAGATCTTGGTCTGTTGAAATATATGTTGATATATATATATATATATATATATATATATATATATATATATATATGTGTGTGTGTGTGTGTGTGTGTGTGTGTGTATTCATAACGTTAAGAAAAAAACTTCGCCAAATATCAGATACTTGATTAATAACCGTTGCCATGGCAACGAGTGAAGACAAATAGTGATCTCAGACTGTCGTCATCACATATGAAACCACTTCCACTCACTCACCCACTTCCACCTATGACCCGAGTATTATGCGAAGTTGCCTTCATTATAATACAGTAATTGAAAGCTCACCTTCCGAGGAATATAGAAGAATACACCGTCTTCAGACTTCATGGACCATCTGAAATGAACTCGATAAGAATTGTTAAACGCTTGCAAGAGAGCAATATATCCTCCGCCCTCTAATCCCCACCCCCACCTCCACCCCGATATCGTCAGAATGTCACCAATAACACGTAATATTTTACGATACATGATACACGATCACCAGTCTCACAACTATGACGTAATTAAGCTGAACTCAGCATTTTAAAATATAGCGTCATGACATTATGACGTTCAAAATCACGTCATCAGGAAAAACAATACCGCTAGGGGTAGATGCCCCGTAAAATATTGTATCGCCAGACTCGTTACATGTCTCCAGGGAGAAAGTGGAATCAGATTTGTGTCATCAAGTTGACAACTAAAATTTAGCCAAGTGGACAAGCTGGATGAGAAAATAATGTGTTGTGATTCTCAAAGAATTTGTTCGTCTCCACGTCTCACTTCAAACGATAATGCCAATTAAAATATCACATGCTTGGCCCCAGTTATGGATTTGTAAACAAGGACTGGTGCGTGTGCGTGCGAGCTTCTGGAACGGGATCGGGTGGTCAGACTTGCTGGCTTGGTTGACACATGCCATCGGTTCCCAATTGCGCAGATCGATGCTCATGCTGTTGATCACTGGATTGTCTGGTCCAGACTCGATTATTTACAGACCGCCGCCATATAGCTGGAATATTGCTGAGTGCGGCGTAAAACTACACTTACTCACTCATTGTTCGGAATTTGGCAGGCTTTATGGTGCTAGCCCACTGAGATGCCATGCAAAAGTAAAATATTCATATCCTTGCTTTTTCAACTTAACTCAGGGTACCAATATGCGCCGGTATGACGCAGCCAAAGGCTCGAACCACCGAACCCCCGCATTCACTCCATCCACCAAACCACACTCCTTCAATTGTTACATTGTTTGTTTGTTGTTTAACGCTGCACTCAGCAATATTCCACCTATATGGCGGCGATCTGTAAATAATCGAATCTGGACCAGACAATCCAGTGATCAACAACATGAGTATCGATCTACGCAATAAGGATGCGATGACATGTGTCAGCAAAGTCAGCGAGACTGACCACCCGATCCCGTTAGTCGCCTCTTACGACAAACATGGGTTGGTGAAGACCAATTCTAACCCGAATCTTCATGGGTTCATAAGTTTAGGCATCGGAGAGCACACCAGGTCAGAACAGACCCCCAGTATCCTATGGCTGTCATGAAGTGCGGCTAGGCCATGGAGAATTGCAGCCAAAGATTCAAGTCTTTGTTTGTCTGCTAGTCAGACTCTTAACATGATCAATCCAGCGGTAAAGATCGCCCAAGTTACCTGGAGGCAATGTCTCATCCCCAGACATGACAATCATTGTCACGTCTAGACCTCCCACTTGAAATGGACACCATGCCTTGGAGCAGAGACTTCCTGAGGGAGCGGACTTTCACACGTACCGTCCATTACAAACTGAAACCTGAACTATTGTGGGTCATTTTACCCCTACGGCCAGGAGTATTCATGACATCATCCACTGGTTAGTTTCCCCTTATTAGTAAGTCGCCAAACATGACTTAATTAAGAGGCACTTCGTTCCACAAAACGGCCGTAGCGCAACGACTGCGATGTTATCGTACGGAGATTACGATTGTCTTTGCGCTACGAAGTCTTTGTGGAACGGGGCAGTGGTTCAGTAACGTCGAAATATGATTATCTTTAATTACAAGACAACTCACCTATTTTAAAGCATGAAAAAAAACCCAAGAAAATAATTCATATTTTGGTCATAAAATATTTTGCAAACGTATACAATATTTACATATGCATGCATATACAACATCCAATCCTCTGATCCAGCAGCTCAGTTCAAGTCACCCATGGTACTGGAGACGTGACGTGTAATGTCCAAAATACAAGGAACTAAATATCCTGGGCCAATTCGTTTCTCTTTTCACGCTCCAGGTGAGCTTCGCGACAGGCCCGTCTGGGTGCGATAGGCGAAGTAAATTAGGCGTTAGGAAAACCGTCTGTCGTTGTTTAGGAGAGGACGGTGTCGCCAGATGGAAGAAACGTCCCAATCAGAACGCGACCCCCTCATCAAATTAACACTAACTGCTATGTAAGGCCGCGGAGCCAACACGAAATGTAAGGCCTGCATGCCGGAGGTGTCTTAAGCCAGGACGAGAGACGGCTTCAACAAGAGGGGAACAAAAACGCATTGAGACCCATATTTTCTTTAATCTACTCGCGATGAAGTCGAAGTGTGCCCAAACATCTACTTGACGAATGGCCATTCTTCTCTAAACCCTCGCCCCGTACCCGTTTGTGCATCGTCGAATAGCATAACCATTAGTGCTTCACTTCCGGTTGAATAGAGGATGGTTTGGGCAGTGCTGCGTGGGGAACGAAATGTCATCCTCGCGTTGTATGGGGGTAGAAGGAGGCAGGGTGTCCCTCTGTCAACAGCAGGTGAAAACGCCCGCCCCTCCTCCCTCCTTCCCACCCCCTCTCAAAGGTACATGGTCTTAATAGGTAGAGTCTGATTTGGCTGCATCCAAATTGTCGCCTCACTCGCTCCGTTTTAAATCTCGCTTTACATTTGAAGTATCCTGTCACCTGACCGAGCTCAGATGCGCACGCGCGAGTCAGTATATCCTATGGCACGTGCTCATAATGACAAGCATGGTCGCTTGTTCAAATAGACGAGTGGTCCGCCACCTTTGTTTCTCTCGGGTAAGACCCTTTGTTATATTCATTTTACTCATGTTTGGGATCATTACCCTTTCGCTTCTGCTCCGGGTCACGCGATCGCCTAAGGCTACTGCTTTTGTTTACAATATGGCTCGCTGTCGGGGGAGATTCAATAGCGTATTTCTTTTATTAAAACACCCCTCCTTAACTTACAATGAACACGCTCCCAGAGTAACAGGTATGCGTGAAACCTAAGATTTTAAAAATCCAAGATGGCGGCGACATCACGGAAACACCGTCTCCAAGAGTCTTCCCCAAACCCTTTCTTACTTTTACAAAGAATATAACTTCTTCCTTCTGGCGAAAGCTTCAGAAAGATGACGAAATACAATACCAATTACAATAAGCGTCAACAAAAGAATCTTTGAACCTGTTTCAATTTCTGTTGGGGACAACTTTCCGAAGCAACCATTTTTTGTTTTAGCACATACATCCAGGACAACCCAGAAATCAGGAAGAAGGTCAGTGATGGTCAAGGTGGTCAACAGTGTAACCCATGGGACCACGTGGGAAAAGACTTCCACGCTACCCACGAAACCAGTGTTGCCCTTAACCCTGAAAAGCTGCAGGCCCTAAGGACCCAGAACCATAAAAAGTTGTGGGTCCTGATCAGAAAGTGTTGGCCTTATATTTTAGTATGGAAATAATACTTTTAGTTATTGGGGATGAAAAAGCTGTCGGCCATAAGGACCTGCAGAAAACAAAAGCTGTGGGTCCGAGAGGTTTTCAGTCGTCTTCGGACCTAAGGACCGACGTTAATTTCGAACGCTGCACGAAACAGTTCCAAATCGAAGGATATTTTAAACAAACATAAACTGCCTGTAAAGAAAGTTTAAACCTATGTTTGATCGTAGCTAAAATGCAACACATCGGAAATGGTTATTCGATGATGATGTATTTAACTTTGAGAGGCATTTAGAAGTTGGAGCAGTAAGGAAGGATAACAGTATATGGTTGAACACCTTCTTTACTACAGCGAGAGCGACGTTTTTGTGCAGGTTATACTTGCTTGATAATGGTGTTAGAACCTACACAGAGACGTCGCTGTAATAAAGACGTTGTTCATCCATATATTGTTATCCTTTCTTGGCGATGTATTTGATACGGTATCGCGGTGTTTTGGACCTTACGTTTGGAATGTCTTGGAGACTAATGTTTTGGTAAAGTTTGCAATTTATTGTCAATCGAACTGTAAGTTTCTTCAATCGTATACCCGGCGGTTCAGCTGAAACAAACACAGTCCTTTCCTAAAGGATCTATATGCGCGCTTGCAACAGCATAAACATAAAAGCTTGTAAAAGTCATCCTTGTGAGAACGTGAACGAGCGAATTGGGTAATCACGACGCCCAAAATAATAAGAATATAGCAGTCATAATTTCGTACTACCACAGCTGTATGTAGGAGGAAGTGATTGAAATGTTAGACCCGTTTCACTCGCCATATGTGCGAATGAATGTTACTGACATACCAATACAAATAATTAGCACGAACATGAGATTCGAACACGCAATCACAAGGTGCTCGTTCGCCCAAGGTACGCAGCTCTGCAGAAGCTGTTTAGAATGTTCATGATTCATGGGGGCGGTGGGGTAGCCTAGTGGTTAAAGCGTTGGCTCGTCACGCCGAAGACCCGGGCTCGAATCCCCACAAGGGTACAATGTGTGAAGCCGTGATGTTGCTGGAATATTGCTAAAAGCGGCGTAAAACCAAACTCAGTCAGTCAGTCAGTCATGATTCATGGAAGTAGCCATACTTACCAATGCCGATATTCTTAACTTCTCCTCCGCATGTTTGGGATGGGGTTTAGAGTGAGTGAGTATAGTTTTACGCCGCTTTTAGCAGTATTCGAGCAATATCGCGGCAGGAGACACCAGAAATGGGTATCACAAATTGTATCCATGTGGGGAATCGAACCCCGGGCTACCCGACAGCACGGTGAGGTTTAGAACCGTACTCTGAATATCTAGGTACACTCCCAAAGTGACATCACCTCAACCTTTAGAAAAAGACAAAACATATTTCAACATTTCTCGTAAACTGTCGACCTGGGTCATGGATATATGGTGTTATATAAAAATTAAGTAAAATACATCATTGCGGAACGTGACGAATCTACGATGACGTTTACTTTGCCTCGTAGGTCATCTCAACCAGTGTTCGAAATAGTTTCCAAATTTTGCTAGTCGGGCTTGCTATGCCTGAGAGTTACTAAAGTTACAAAATATTTCACTAGCCCGAAATTTGAATGTAGACACGGGTTTCATCATTAAGCTGCTAATATGATGAACATTTTTATCAGGCCATAATCTTGCATGATTTAAAAGTGTATTATAAAACTTAACAGGTAGGAGAGAGTGATATATTCTTCTCATCAAAAGTTTAGACTCACTTATGGAAATATACTCACTTACTTCAGGCAACTGTTCTACACTAAATTTTGCAAAATATGCTATACTGTTCAAAGGTACCGTTTACACATGAACTGATGTATTGTAAAACAAATTCGTAACGTTGAAAAGATTATTGTCATGAGTTCAGTAAATGATGAAAATCAGTGAAAATTGGCGAATTCCTAGCAAAAGTTTACACCATAACGCAGCTGTTCATATGCACGATATTTGCACATGCTTTTCAGCAATTTGATGCATGATCCATCACTGTGGAGATTTACTGGCCCGACTGGATTTTTACTAGCCACGGGCTTGCGGGCCAGTTGATATTTCGCTCACTGATCTCAACCATGGAGACAAAGGATGAGAAGAAGAAGAAGACGAAGTGAAAGAGGAAGAAGAACAAGACAGAAGAGCTGAGAAAAAAAGACAAAAATATAGTTGACTGTAAAAACCACACCAGTTAAAAACGAACAAAAATCCATACCAGATTCCAATCAGTTGTCTCAAATCACTGCCTACAAAAACCATATACTACGTTTAGGAAGCAATGATTTGCTCGGTCTATCAGCCTTGGGTCTAGACCGGCCGTAATAGTTGGAACACGACTAATCCCATGTCCCTCGAGGGGTTGAAACACGTATATTTTCTTTCATGATAATAATCCACGCCATGGGCTATATTTTATGCTGTGCCACCCTCGGTGAGGATGCCTGACGCGGCATGGAGCTCAAAAAACGACAATTTGTCTGTGCTGTGTGGTGAAAACCATGTTAGGAGTCCGATATGATCTGAACCGCTGGGGGATGTATGGGATACAGCGATATCGTTCTGTGGGAGGTAGAGGTGCTGACAATGTGACCCGTTTGTCGTACAGAGGTGTTGAGCTTTTTCTAAATGATTGAATTATTGGAAACATTTTGGGCGTTTTATTAATAATGGCTGGTAAATATGGGTCATCTCAGTGATGATATTTAAGGAGGTTATTTTTACATCAATCAAATTAATTTCCCAATAAAATGACCATATAAAGACGTTTCGCGTCAGAGACAGAGATAATTGGGTAGACATATTCTGTTTTTAATAGGTTTAGTGAACTCATGGTCTGAAAACCGTTCAGAATTGTAGATTATTCAAAACTTCATTTTAGGGATTTAGCCTTTCTCCAAGGCTGTCATGAATACTAAGCCCATGGATGTATCGTAATTCTATCCTGAAAGAGGCAAGTCTAGATAAGCGGACAGAACTAAGCTGAGTGAGTGGGTTTAGTTTTACGCCGCACTCAGCAATATTCCAGCTATATGGCGGCGGTCTGTAAATAATCGAGTCTGGACCATACAATCCAATGATCAACAGCATGAGCATCGGTCTACGCAACTGAGATACGATGACATGTGTCAACCAAGTCAGGTACAGTCCGCTGCCATATAGCTGGGATATTGCGGAGTGCGGCGTAAAACTAAACTCACTCACTGGTATTGCTGAAATATTGCTGAAACCAGCGTAAAACCCAACTCTCTCACTCACTCACACACACACACACTCGTAGCGCTAAGATCGCTTTGTGCAAGTGCTCCCAGGACAATTATTATTGAAAACGTTTGAACTATACAGATTCGATATACTAATGGTACGTTTGTCCACACTATGGAACTGATTATAGAGGTTCCAATGAACTTATAACATTATTTACCACCAAAGTTATTCTGTGAATGTGTGTTAGTAATCTGACATCTTTCATTTGTCAATTCTAATCTATAAAGACAAGATGCCTATTCTTTCCGCCACGCCATGATCGTGTTTAGATTCTATGGGGCGGGGACGCTTAATATATTACCCCCAAATCATACCCCACAGCTCGAACTATGAATACCCACGTACTAATTAATATGGATGATTGGGTCCAAACCCCGGTCCCACCCCTTGTTACCTGCCTGACCCCCGAGGCTAATCGGGCTGGTCTCTGATCATCGGTTATAATTACAGACAATGTCAGGTCCGCTTGTACCCGTCCGTGTTCTGCTGTCGCGATGGTCTATACGTTCCTTTGATGTATTTCAAGGTGATTAACACGCGCCACGTAATATCCGTGCAGTTGTCATGAAGAGCGACACGGTTTTCACGTGCAAGGTGATGAGCACGAGCAGATGGAGAAGCTATTGAAGCTGGATCGCCTGATGACGATCTGATAAAGACATGATTAAGACACGACTTCGGATTGAGACAGTAGCTCTTAGAAATCGCCTGCATTCCTCGCCCGTCCGCCAAAGGGAAAGCGACAGTTGGGAATATGTCCGATCGTTGCCGGACATTACCGAAGATAATGTGATGACATCACGTTCAACTGATAGTAACATATCTGTGTTATCCGAGATATGCGAGCGACAACAGAGCGGTGGCGATGTTGTCCGAATGTGACGTAATGACATCACGGTCGGGAAATTCCGAGTGAATGTTGTGGCGAAGCGATGCGTTGATTTCAAAAGAGTGTGTGGTAATCAGATCTGCGAACGCACGACCGAGATTTAGAAAGGGGTGATGGTATTTTGAGCCTACTTCCGAATGTGTTTAGATGAAAATAGTTCTGACTGTGTCCTGGATGACTTGGAGACAGGTATTTCTGACATGGCAATCGTTTCTGATCAAAGTGAAATTGGCTCTGACACATATGGAATTGTTGGTGTTTGGCGGGCATTCAAAGACTTGAAACCTTGATGCCGACAGGCTTTCGTGGAACAGAATTTACCATACTTTAGGATATATCGTCAACTGTATGTCTCAAGAACGGTTTTAGTCTTGACTTGCGATGACCAGATAAATAACTGAACTATTTAATACGTATAAAACGGAATGATGATGATGATGATGATGATGATGATGGTGATATGAACCACTGTCATAGCGCACATAATCTTTCCAATTAGCTGGTTGTCGAAAAAGTTTCCATTCACATTTACATTCTCAACTTCCTGGGGAGTATCTGTTACAGGAAATATATTTAACCATTTAGACATTTTGGTGTTTATTATATTTCCCTCCTAGTCACAAACTAAATCCACCATTATACTAAATGAATATATTCATATGAAGAAATATAGAGAACCAAACTTTGGTGAAACCTGCATTATGCATCATGAATATCATAATGGGTTAGAAAAGAAGTGAAACTAACACGAAAAACAAATCCAGAACCATATTTGGCGAGCACAAAAATATAAAACAAAACAAGACAAAAGTCCTTTCGTGTGGTTACAGACATCCGTTATATTGCTGGAATATTGCTGAGTGGTTACAGACATCCGTTATATTGCTGGAATATTGCTGAGTGGTTACAGACATCCGTTATATTGCTGGAATATTGCTGAGTGCGACATTAAACAAACAAACAAACAACAACAACGAACGTCTATGTGAAATGAGACTTGAGTTTCATGTGGCTTTATTAAGCTCTCTGGAACAAACTTGGCACAAGAGTACCATTTTACTCAGAATTTGATTCCAGCAAATATATTTGATATAAGTGGCTGGGAAATCTTTAACAGAAAATGAAATTTCTGTTGGCGATAGAGAATTAGTATGTGTTTAGTGGGGAACAATTATATAATAGAATCATATTTCATTGCAGGGCATTGTGCATAAATAAATGATCCATATTTCAGTACACATGTTTGAATCCCTTAAATTTACATGCATGTTTTTGGTATATTCCCTAAGTAAATGATATATTAAACATTCCTGTATCAGTGAAAATTGTATATTCTGTAACACATGACGTTAAAGACACA